CTCAGGATGGACTAGGTTTCTGATCAGCGGTAAATCTCATGCTCTCGAATCACCTCTAATCAGGGTGTCGACCTTGAGTAGTGGATTATGATTGTGTGTTCTAATTAGACGTCTTTGAACTTTGATGTAGAAATACTAGAATAAAATGACAATAGACCATATATAAATATTAAAAATAGTCAATGACATAGCAGAAAAAGATCCTATCGACAGTGGAATATTGAGATTTTAGTAGAATTAAACAATACATACAAATTTTGAAGAAACTCAAAATAAACTCTCTTAAACGGCAATTTCACCATTAAGCAAATAACTTTTTTGGTAATAACATTTTGAGTCTACCAGAAAGAACAAGGTGATTACAAGCATTCAATGCAACCGTCTTTACCCACAAATGGCTTCAGAGTCGGAAATTTCTTTGATCATTAAAAAAAAAAAACTACTAATTTCTATCAAATTATCACAATTTCAAGTATTTCATTGTGTCTCTTCTTCTTGTGAACGTTGAATCCACTGCAATTATTACTTTAGTAGACAAGTGAGAAAAAGAATAAGATTTGATTTCATCAGAGAGCTTATCTGCGGGCAGACTTTGGCTTGAGCCTCTTGTAAGCCATGAAAGTGACAGCAGCGGAGAGAGAGTACCTGTTCATCATTAGACACAGACTCAAACACAATCCCTCTCATTCACCATAGCAATGAGACCAAAAAACGCTAATAACAACTCGTGTATCCGTATGTAATTACCATGTTATTGAGTAGTTGAGATGGTCTTGTGGCATAACTTTATTACGGATCAAAGTGTTGATGTCTTTGGGGACAGGATACGGTCTACTCCGATCTATGTCTTCATGAACGTCCTCTACATAGATTGTGCTTTCAGGAAGACCTATGGCTCGAGCCATTGCAGGAACGTCTACATAGAACCATTGCCCAGTACTTGGATCATTGGCTGGAACAAATATACTCGGGTTCTCCCCTCCCCTGATCACACCAACGACTTCTACAGGCTTCACCGCGGATACATGCTCCTGCTGTATTTCAGTCATAACAAGCAAGAGATTTTGATAGACACAAAAAGAAGAAATAAATTGAATCTTTGCAGATAGCTGAATTAAATCTGTCTACGCAAAAAGATCCGATGTTTCTATACAGATGCATCCACAAAATTACAGTTTCGAGCTAAACAAAATATACAAGAAGCTGGCCTTCTGACAAATGAAAGAAGCTTCTGATCTGAACAAGACCTACCTTGGTAATCACTGGCGTCTTGGACCAAAATTTCCACCATGAATTTTGTTCATCGGAGGGTGATTTAGCTTCTGTTGACTGGTTTGTAACAACGTCAGCATCTGTGGATTCTGCTGACTTTTCTCTCCAACTTCGAGGAACCCATCCGCGGTTCACCAGAATAGGCGACTGCATGCTAGTGGACAAAGGAAAAGAACAATCCGACTTCAGGAAAAATGTCAAAACAGTAAAACCGGCAGCCAAAAAGACAAATCAAGGCTTAAGTGACACTGCTGCAGAACACAAAGAAGAATAATGTCTAATTAATTCTCAAACTATTCACTAGTTAAATGTTGTATTACAGTTATCGACCAAAGGATCTTAGTATTTCAATCCCAGCCAATCAGAATCTCCGAAATAATGCCATTAGTAACAAGCATTGTCAAGGTTTTATAAAGTATAATAGGATTATAGAGCCCAACTGTATAGTAAGGTAATAAAAAGACTTAAAAGCAAGGAGAAAGGATCATTACCCTCACCTATCCAGGTCAATCGGGATGGGCATTAGAGGTGTGATGACATAGAATCCATTTTCAGTCACTCCCGATATGGACCTAGACCGTGGACCCAAGTAGATAGACCTTTGCTCATCAAACACACCTTTGCAACTAACCCGTCTAAATTCTAAGGTATCCAGATTCTTATCAGGGGGATGTTCTGTATTTAGCATCATTGGTTCCATGTTCAACCGTTGCTGTTGGTACTCCAGTGTTTTGATCTGCGTTAACAAGGAGTGAATAAAGATTTAGGGTCTACTCAGCCCAAAGTAACATTTAATGTAAACTGTATCAGCTCCAGGAACCGTTT